AGGCTTCATTTGCTGACGTCTTCTTCAGGGAACTTAACCGATACCTTTTTATCCCATGATTCTCATTTATGTTTTCTATACAAATTAATGGAAAAAGAATCATAATTTACCCCAGGCTTTTAAAAAGAAGAAAATATAAATTTATCAAATTTATTAGGAAGTTAAAAATCTCTTAAACAACAAAACACCAATATGCAAATGCCCATTTTTATCAAACATGAAGAAAATGATTCTGGGTAGTTTGGTTTGTATAGCCATGATTTTATTACTGATTTCAATTTACTAAGTTAGTTAGTTAGTTAGTTAGTTAGTTAGTTAGTTAGTTAGTTAAATTTTAAGAAAGGGTCTCCCTGTAGCCTCAGCTGACCTGGAACTTGCTATGTAGACCACAGTGATCAACTTCCTTCTGCCTCCCCAGTGTTGGGACTAAAGACATGTGCCACCACACCTATCATGTTGATATTTTTACAGTGAGTTACAAACATTTAATCTTATCACACCAATAGTTTTTTAGAGGAAGGCTCTAAATCAAAGCTGGCATTGCCCATCACAGTCCAAGTAGATGTAGAAGCTTGAAAACATATTATTTTCATTTGCATCAAGTGGGCTGTACTAATAGAGGTTGTGCCAGCTTAGGGAGCAATCAATCACACGTGAGGACTTGGAGATGGTGTTTCTCAGTTTTTTGCAATCAGTGAGTCCAGCTTAGAACACCCTTCTGTGTTACTCTCAGAATCCCTTTATGGCCCTAAAGCAAATGGCCTAGCATTTTAAGGTTTTACAGAAGTCAGAAATACAGATGGGAAGCTCTAGATTGTTCAGGCATGCAATACTTCATGGACTCTTGTATTCCTGATGATATTGACCCTAGCCCCCAATGTCTTGTGTTTTTACTGGCTTAAAGAAGTTTAAACCATTGTTCTCTGTTAGTCATTGCAGAGGAAAGCAGTTATGGAAGACGTTTTTAGTTGGGGGGTTTTGATCATTATGTTGAGATTTTAAAAACTTACAAATGTAGCAGATATTTACCATTTTTTTCTAGTTTAATGATGAATTGAACTCTGTAACAGTAGTGGACCAAGCACAAAATTGCCATTCTGTCCCTCTTCCTGCAGTTATAGAAGTTAGGGCTGTTTTTTATCTCAGATTCCAATATAATGTTTGCATCGTGGCTTCATGCTAATGTTGGACTTTCTGTAAACAGCACAAGGTCATCTTTGCTACAGCACAAAGAACACAAACATTAGAAAAAATGCCCCACACAGGAGACTGCAACATCACATTAGTGAAATTTTCCTTGTTCAGAATATTTATAATTTTCAACATACTCTAAGCGTGCAAAATTAAAATTTCAGGTGTTGATCCTTAGACAATGGTTTAGTAAAATCTTACCATGCATTATGCAGTAAATTTTCAGTTAAATAGCATTTACTAAGAGCCTGCTGTTACTCGGGAACTTTGCTCAGGCTGAGACATAATAGAATAAGAAAGAAGAAGCACGTGGGAGAGAGAAATATTACTTTTCTGAAATAATTCATGCAGCTTAGACTGTCAACTGATTTCATACTTATTCTTTCATTCCTCCCAAATTCTATCAGTTCCAACCTGGAGCTGGGGCTGATTCCAAGGATTCAGTGTTCACTGACTTCTCCCAAAAGACTTGTTCTGGGCAGTGTCTGCCTCTGATGGAGTTGTGTCCTTGGCGGGTATTTTTACTCCCCTTTTCCTGCTTGAGCCTTACGCGGCTCAATGTCCACTATACTTTAAACCATCAGTGCATGTTTGCTCTAAGTGAATATTTATTTAGATATATTAACTGGATTCTTAATAATTTATGAATATTAAGTGAATTACATTTGGAAAAATAATGCTATGCTCTGCTTCTCAGGCAATGAAATTGGAAGTCTGTTAAACTGGAGCATATGTATTAGCTTTAATGTAATATTAATTCTACACTCATCATTATAGCAAACAATGGATAAAAAGACAAATAATTTTACAATTCTGATCCATTATTTTTTAAAGGTCAGAAAATTTCTTTCCTTATAGAGATTAATTAGCAGAAATTTTCTTTCTTTATAGAGATTAATTATAGAGATCGAAGGTGTTGGGGACCTTGGGAGGGGCATTCTTAGCTCCTCATGCGGTTGTCTTTTCAAAATCTTGTAATTTAAACATGACTTTTAAAAAAGAAAAGAACAGAGGTACAAGGGAGATGGCTACGCAGTTAAGAGCACTTATTGCTCTTGTAGTGGACCAGAGTTCATTTCCCAGTACCCATGTCAGGCAGCTTACAACTGCCTATAACTCGAAATCCAGCAGAATCCCACACCTCTGGACTTCCAGTGTACCTGCACTCAACATGCACACACCCACACACAGAAACACACATACACTTAAATAAAAATAAAATAGATCTTTAAAGAAGAATAGAATGATATAAATCCTGTTTGTGCAAGAGTTTCCTATTTTAATACAGTCGTTTACTTAAGGATTATTTTCCATTTTAAAAATATTTCTGTTTTCAATTAGCTAATCATTTGTCATTCAGTTTATATTAACATTGCAGCTGCCCCTCTTGAGACGCAGTTTTGGAAAAGCAGAAGTTCCTTTAAATATAAAGTGGCTCCTGATAAGTTTTCACACCACTATCAAACTGTTTTTGAGATCAGGTGTCAAAACTAAAATTGCAAGTGAAATTTTTGAGTCAGACTGTCTGTTAGTTTCATTCGGAATGGCAGATTCTTTCCTCCCAGAAAATTACTTTCCTTTTCCTTTCCCAAATAATAATAGACAAAATATATTCAATTCAAATTGACATTTCTTCAGATTCTCTTGCGCTTAGGTGACTGAGAACTCTGGCTTGTGGATCATTTAAAAGATAACCTGCCCTTTTTCATATTTGAAAACAAACCTGTGAAAGGGTTTATCTTAAGAGAGATTATTTTATCAATTCCTTTAAAATCATCAGGTCATTAATTGCTGACAGAATGCATCTCTATAGTTTTAATTCCTATCATTCATGAATATTAAGTGATTCCTATAAGGAAATATGGACATCTTATATAATTAGTGCACAGGACTTCTCTTTCTATGACATTTCTAGTTTTTCTATGAAATAAATTAGTCTGAACAAAGGGATTGAAATATCCTTGATTATTTATAAAGTATTAATAAGCAGTAATTTGGTGTCTCTCTTTAGCAGAAAATGAGATCATAGGGAAAGAAGTTAGCATTTTTCCTATCACATAGCAGGCATTTTTTACATGCAGACTTTAATGTTCTGACTTGTAGTTCACCACTACATTGGGAACAGATAGAAAAAGTGGTGTTTGATAAGTTTTGGTAAATATTCATTTGCTAAGGAAATAAGAATGATGTATATAAAAATGTATTCATATTATGATAAAATTAGAGGAGTTTTTATTACCTTTGAGGTGAAAATTCCTGGCTGTGCAAAGTGAAATTTTAAAACACTGAGAGATATTGAATAGCAATATTGATAGGAATTCACTTTAGAAAATTCCAGGATCATATTGGGGATTAATGGAGTTGACAGGACATTGTTTAATTCTGCTTTGTGAGCAGATAATGGAAAATTCTAAAGTACTGGGGTTTTGCCAAATGAAATTGAGGTAGCCAGTGAAATGATACAGACTAAAAGAAAAAGACTGCATTTTGAACTCCAGAGAGCCATTGTTTATGGTGCATGAAGGATTAATCAGACAGAAATTCCTAATATTACATTGACTATAGCTGATAGCAGGCATTATTTTATTTTCAGAAAAGCCTGTATTTCATAAAGATCATGAACAAAGAATGAGTTTTAAAATAACATACCACAAAGAATAACACTATGTAATTAGTACCACCGGTAAGGAGAAGAAGAAAATTTACACCTGTGGATGGTCCTTTTACACTTTCATCATTTAATAATAATTCCTTGGATAGGAACAAAGGAATGCTCACTGTAACTGAAAACTTACCCAAGATCAAATGTTTTATTTTTATTGCATAAAAATCTATTAACACCAATAATGTTAATATCCAAGGCCTTATTGGTTTAAAAGTTTGCAAATGAAATTGAGTACAAACTGCTTTAGTAAAGACTTCTTGGAAACTAAAATTTATTTTTACCACTTTTTTTCTAATTCCAATTAGGATAAATGTATATATAAGACATTATTTCATGTTTATTACTTCTAAATCTGTTATTAAGCCAAATCTTAAAATCTAATTGTAGAACTTGGAAGTATAGAAAAATAAAGTAGAGGTTACGTTTCTTTGAGTATGCCAAGCACACATACACAAAATAAAATTCATTTATATAGTACTGGCTTTCCCTCTTCACTTAACCCTGTTTTGGTCTATGCTGACCTATATAATATTTTAAGTTCAAATAGAGATCACAAGAAACTTTTTTATTCAATACTTAATGGACATTTTGTTGAATACAATCTTTGCCACAGACACATATAACATCAGTAAGAAAAAAAATAAGAAAATATTTTAAATAGTGTCTCCATTTGCCCTCTTTACTTACTTCATTTAAAAGCTTCATCTTTCATTGCTAAGAAGAATGTCTATCCATCTTAAATTGCATTTGTCTTTCTAGGTGTTCAAACTATCTTGATACTTATCAATGCATCATAAGCTATAACTGAATCATATTTTATGAACTTTCAACATTTTAACATGTTTCATTTTTTGTTATGCTTTCAGTTGTATAAATTAGAAATTTGCTTTCAGTAAAGCATATTTAAACCAATGGTTCTGTGTAGGCATCACTGTACACAATTTAAAGCACAAAAAAACAAATATGATTGAACTGGTTATCTTGATAAAGGCATGCTACTTTCATTTGAATGCAAGCTAAGCATCAAGTGAATGTGATAGGGCTGCAGAACTCTTTAGCACTTCCAGAGAACCGCTCAATAATGCGTTTGTGTTTCTGCTGCCATATTTAAGAATCTCTAATTCTTCCATTTCTTATCTTCTAGGAAATAAATGATATGGATGTCCAGGAACTTGTAAGAAGGTCAATTGGGAGGTTAACAATTATTCGGCAGACATTTCCAGTTCCCCAGAATATAAGTCAGAGGTGTTTCCGTGGCAACCATCGAATCTCTTCAACACTGTGTGATCCCAAGGATCCGTTTGCTCAGAATATGGAGGTGTGTTCTAAGTGCCAAGTTGTCTCTTCCAGAACACTCTTTGGGCAACTTAATGAGAGCCAAATGATACCAGATTCGGAATTGCATACGTTCTTGTTCCTCAGCGGTTTTCTCTGGCATTTGGATAAGTGCGGCAGGGACAGTGCAGAGAACTTGTTACATTTGATCTTTTTATAGAAATATGTGTATTTGCTTAATAAAAATATAATAAAGTTTATTTCCTTCAAAGTAAGCAGGTGCACAACATTTCCTGATATGGAAACTGTTCTTGGTACTCCCAAAGCCATACTCCAAATTAAGTGAATTGCTGGACTTATCTGGCATAAAGGATATAAACACTGATTTCTCTTTTCAAAGTCTCCAGTCTGGGGTTGGAGAGATGGTTCAACGGTTAAGAGCACTGGCTGCTCTTGAAGAGGACCTGGGTTCAGTTCCCAGCATCCACATGGCTGCTAAAAACTGCCTATAATTCCAGTTATAGGGGATCCAACACCTTCTTTTGACCTCTGCAGACTTTGCATGACAGGGATGCACTTACATGCAGGCAATACACTTGTACACATAAAATAATAAAACAAAAATAAATAAACTATTTTAAGTTTCCAGTTTGAATAACTTCAACTAAAAAAAGCCTACTCAAAACCCAGAAAGTAAATAAAAATGTGTGAATGAAAAATAGAGAGCACTCAGTCCCTGCAGCTTAATCAGAAGAGTGTGCTTTAGAGAACTCACTTGGAGTTTTCTTTTTCTTAAGAAAAATCCTATCGGATATTTTTCTCTTGTACCAGAGATCTCAATCTGTCAATTTTGAGGTGGATGTTAGAGAAAGCGGGCATACCAGCAGCTGCAGGGAGCCACAAGAAGCTCTCCAACAAGGCGAGAGACAGCAAAAGAGAAGAATCAATCAGATACACTAACTTACACATATGATCAGGGCAGGGCTTTACGGGAAAACAAATCTGTACAATACAGCAGTCCCCGTGCCTATTGTGGTAGAGCAGTGCCAGCATATTCATGAATGTTTAAACAGCAACTCTAAGATTTCAGTAAAGATTAAAGTCAAGATCAATTTTATACATCAGGAAAATATAATATATTCCCCAAATAGAATCCTTTAACATGTTTATTATTGGAAACATTTTAGTATCTAGAAGTGCTTGAAAATTTTGGAAATATAACCTTAGGAAGATTAATCTATCTCCCACAAGACCTGATAAATAAAGTAATTTTGTAAAACTGTTACTTTGAGAGCTGACTCCACAGCCTCACTCTCCTTTTTACTTTTGAATTCTGTAGAGGATTGCCTCTTAGCCAGGTGCTTCCTCACACTTAGTGATAGTGAGCCCATGGTTTCAGGATCATTGCCCATTGACCTTGGTGTTCTCTACTGGATTTTGAGTTTAGCACAGGCCACTGCAAGACCCAAAACCATGCCCCCTCCCAGTATACTCCTCTACCATGTCTTCTATCATAGTTGTCTAATCATGGAACATGATTAAACATAGTTTAATTAATCATGGAACATGTATGTTAGTTATCATTCTTTTCCCAAATATATTGGATGCTTTAAGGTTGTAAGGAATTGCCATTCCACCTTAATCTGTATCTTTATCTTCTTTTCATCTTCAAATACACAGATGAAAGAAAACAGGGCAACTATATTTTCTTTGCATAACTTCTCTCTTACATATTATAGAATGATACTAAATATTTAATAGATAAAAAAGGAAATCTGACAGAAACATTTTATATGAGATTTATACAATTAATTGTGAATGCAGGGCTCTAGAATTTAAAGTATTCCACTAAAAATCAGAGTATTTGATATACTGCCTTGTTTCATGAAGATTTATCTCACGATAGAGATAGCAACTAAAATTAAATGATACTTTTCATTAAATTCTGAAGTTACTACTGGCTGATAACTTAGGAATGGGTGTTCCTTAGGAAAAGATCCCCCTCAACTTGGGATCTATAAAAACTTTGTAGGTAAATACAAACAATGATAGACATTCACCTTGGAATTCTGAAGTGTACAATTAAAAACAATTTAGAAGAATAAACATATGCAAATATGACCCAAGTGAGCCCTAAAACTAGAAGCTCAACTCTAAAATCACATAAATGAAGGAATACAAGGAGCCATGGACCTGTGAGGAGTCTTCTAGCTGTTACTTTGCAATGTATTTAGAAAGGGTAGACACTTTGAAAGAATGAAGGCAAATTTCATAAACTTTAGTGATAGAAAAACAAACAATCCAAAATTAACGGAAGTCACAAAATAAGTACCAACAATATGCGTAATGAAATAAGAAGGAAAGAAGCCCATGCTGTGCTGAGACTGTTAGCTTGCCTCCTAGTGAACAGAAATCAGAAACTTTCCCATATTTTCTAAGAGAAACTTTCTTCAAATATATAAGCTTAGGGATGTGTATGTCGTTTAGAGATAGAAAACTGGCTTCACATGAACAAAATGCATTATAAAAAGCAATCCAGCGGTTTAGGGAAAACAGAGATTTTCTGATTTCAGGAGTATGCCTCACTGCTTTAAACAAGGATGGTAAATACTTGTCTAGAGCAATCAATAAACTAGCAGTTGTGATGATCATACCAATATAGTGTAACTTAAGAAATATATGAGAAAGACTTGGAGAGAAGACCAAAGTCCAAGAGATTGACTTATGGTTAGAATTTTCAAAATGAAGGATAAAAGATTGTTATGAATACTGGCATATTAATATTAATGTTTACATAAAGTGTAAATTATATTATTAAATGGTTTGGAGTATTTCAAGTAAGAAAATAGGGCCTATTGAGAACAAGCAATGTCAAACTAAACCTTCACTAATAATTTGAAGGGATTTGGGGGGTTCTTTTTTATTGTATCGGAAGACTATAAAGTTATGCATTTTATACTGAATTTTATATGATGTTTAGCAACTTTTCTTAAGAAATCTTTAGGAAAGACTTTGACAAGTCTAGCTCAGTTGATAATGTACTTTAATACATTATGTAGTGCTGGGCAGCTCCTGTTATGGAAAGCCTACTACCAGGTGTTCTTTTGTGATCAGTTTGAGAAGTGAGGAACAGAAGGGTACTCAAGCTAACTAGGCAAATCTTCGCTCTTTTATGGTCATCCAAAACCTTCTGTCCCTGGAGCTAATCAGGTGACTATCTACACATCATCAAATTTGCAAATGGCATGAGAGAAAGCCTACATCACATTACATAATAAAGGTCAAAATTATTAGTATCAATTTAAAATAATCCCCAACGTTGAAATTTCAGAGAAATAACGTAGCTCCAAAATCAATTACAGAAATCTAGATGGAAGAGCCTTGCTTTGACAGCTGTTCAAAACTGTTATGCTGAAGGCAAATTCAATCTGATCACAGTGTAAGTCAATTCGCTGTGAACCATTTTAATACAATCTTGGACTCTGTGTCAGAGGCACTTTGCCAAGATCAAGAGATAGACTGTCTTACACTCCTGTCTGCTAGTCAAATCACATCTGCATTAAGGTGTCAGTTCTGGTTACTCAACATTTCGTAGAAATTGAAAAACAAGAGACAAGAGAAAGGAAGAGATTTGAGAGGACAAGCAGCCAAGAAACTGTCCCAACAAGAGAACAGAGGGTATTTCGGGGCAAGTGACAGATGGCTCCTGGAGCATCATCCATCTTAGACAACAGGTGTAGTGACAGGAAAGCTACAGAGAAGTAATGGGTTAGTTATGGGATGACAGGATTATGGAATGATTGGGAAATTTGGTTTTCCACCTCCCTAACCTTGCTAGTGCAGGATTGTATGCTTAGATCCTAATAATCATTTTGTGCTTGTTGTGGCCATACCAAATGATCATGTGTGTAAAACTTGAAGTCACCTTTTAAAATGCCTAGAGACAATTAGAAATCACAGCATGGGAGAAGTCAAAGACCTCACAAAGAAAGTGACCAAGAGGTCAGTAGATGGTATCAGAAGGAGACTGGAGAGAACACAAACGTCACAGGAGAGTGTACACCTGTTCAAGGAAGAAGACAGAGATTGGGAAAAATATTCTCAGAAAATGTCAGGTCTCTCTCTAGACTGCTGATTACAATATAGACAGATAAGAAGAAAGGGTCACCAGTGTCAGGTTCAAAGTTCCTATCTTATAGATGAGCACAGATCTTAGAGAACATGCCTCAGTATGCAAAGAGACTGCAAATGATACGTCAGATAACACTGTTTGCCAAATGTCTATGTCTTGGCTTCTGTTGTATTCAGCTGACTTTCCTTTCCCCTTCTTCCCATTCTTTTATGTTACAAGTGTTTATTGGAACCCAAATATGTTGTGGGCTGATGGTAAAGTTAAAAGTAGATGAAACACAGAAAAACGAAAGCAAGGGGAAAGGGACTTACAGCATCTTCCATCATGACTCACATGCTAGGTGAATGGCAAATTATCAATATCTCAGCACTGTGATACATTTCAATAGAGATGTGCACTGAGTGCCAGGGAAAGGCAGAAAGGACTGGTGTGCAGAGGGAGAGGAAGTCATTGAAAAGATAATGTGACATTGCCACTTGTGAGTTACTCAGGCTCCAGTGGGCAGTGTCACACCCATGCCCATGAGAGTGGTTTGGTTAAATTCAGTGACTCACATAGCAAAATCAGAAAAATCATGGAATTGGGACAGGGATTTGATGGCAAGAAAGAAAGTGTTGGTGGGGATGAGAGGAGGGTAAGAAAGAGTGGAGGGATGAGTGGGACAGCTGTGTGTTATAGACAGATATGTAATTAACAAAGAAGGAAATAATTTTTTAAAACACCACTCAGTGAAGCTTAGGATCAGGAGATAGGATGATGGATTTCCAGATAAGGATCCGACTAGACGGTAAACTTTGAATTGAGTAGGGAAGGAAGTTAACTATTTGGAGCAAGGGAAAGGGACATGGAAGGATGCTGCCAAATATTTTCACATGGCACTTAAAACAATGGGAGAAGCACAGTCCAGTTGGAGATAAGACATGGGTCTAAGGAGTGGACCCAAGGTAGGTAGGAGAAAGGCACATCTAGCATATTATTTCTATCCAAAGTCTACCCACAGATTTCCCTATGGGCTGCTGGGTGTGACCCAGCCACCCCTCATTTGTCTTTTACATTGTTCTGTTGCATCTTTGTGGTCTCTTTCTGACAAGAATTTGGATTCACGAGGTACTTTTAGTTTCGAGTGCCACACTTTGTTCCTGAACTTTCTGCCAACCTAGACTAGTTTCTCCAATAATCATCTATGTGGGGTGAGCATAACAGTCAACCGTAATATTTCCTCATGAAAAGTAACCTTCAATTACTCAATATCTCGTTAAAGAAAGAAATACCTCTCTAGTATGTTTCTTCCAATATGTTACGCATAAAAGGATACCTAAAAATCCACAAGTGTAAATGTTTCCCTAGATGTCAAAGGAAGCACAATGTATTGTCAGACAGCTCCTGTTAACAGCTGTGCCTTGCACCAAATTCTAATTATCCCAACAGTTGAATGTGCATAGACTAGTCCATAAATTTCCTTCTTGATTAATTACAATCAGTGACAATTCACATAGTCTTGCCTTTGTTATTAGAAAAAAATCTGTGAAATATGATACTTGAAAACAAGAGAAAGTTCAAGTGTTTTAAGATGAAATGAATTTCTATCACAGCCTTTCTTTCTCAGTTTTATTTTTACATCAGATTTTTCCTTCTGAGAGGTAACAAAGCAAATTTAGTAACTTTTTTTCACCTCATACCCTTCAATGTTCATGCTTCCTGAATAAATTCTAATTTCCTTTAAAAAACACCTTTGGGCCAGAGGTGGTGGTGGCACAGGTCTTTGATCTCAGCACTCAGTTCAAGGCCAGCCTGGTCTACATAGTGAGTTCCAGGCTGGATACAGGGAGACCCTGTCTCAAAAAGACCAAAAAAACAAAACAAAACAAACAAAACACCTTTCGTAAGTAATTGATAGCATGGATAGTAATTCTTGCAAGACTTATTCCTGAGTAAAATAGACCTCAGCAAAAAAAAAAAGAAAAAGAAAAAACAACGCTGTGATTCAGTTTTCAATCTGTAGGCAGAAGATAATTACTGTAGAAGACAAAGGCATGACTCTAAGCACACATTCACAAGCTGTTAATAGTTTGTGGTTCTCATCCTGTCAATGAGTCACAATGCTTGTATGACTACAGCATTTTGTACCCATTGTGTCATTTTGGTATGAGTGTTTCTGCTTGCTTTCCTTTTCTTGTTACAGAATTCCCCATGAACACACAAACACAGTTCTTATTTTGGTCCTATAACACTCATATAGAAGAACAGAGTTTATATCAAGCTGATAGTTGCTTCCACATGAACATCAAAAATGTAGAAATGTGACATATTCAGAAAATGTATTATTCAGTATGTTCTTCCAATCTGAATCCCTTAGATTGCTGCCTCTTCAAAAGAATTAAGGGCCAACTGATTTTCTAAGGTATGACACTAACATCCTGGCCTCTGTCCAAAACCACCCTTTTTTAAATCTTCTCTTTCATACCCAAATAAGCTGAAAAGCAATTGAAGTATACAATGAGGTAAGACTGTTCTCAGTGGCAAAATGATCTGAGAACTATAAAAAGAAAACTTCTGCCTAATAAATAACTCATGATTGGCATGAAAGAGAGGCTGAGCTGCCTCTTCTCCACTTGGGGATGGCTATTGTGAAGGAACTAATGACCACTGCCTAATGTCTTTTCAGATTTCAAACCTTTATATCTACGACACGGTGCTTCTGCTTGCTAATGCCTTTCATAAGAAACTGGAGGACCGGAAGTGGCATAGTATGGCAAGTTTGTCATGCATCAGGAAAAACTCAAAGCCCTGGCAGGGAGGGCGGTCCATGCTGGAAACCATCAAGAAGGTAACTGTCCACTGACAGTATCGCCTTGTTTTGTAGTGCTGTGCAAACACGCAAAGCTGGGGGAGAAAGTACATGGGTGACTGACAAGGCATCCTTTAAGATTTCCTTTATCTTTCTTGCTGGCTTTTCTGCTAAATCAGGGCATGATAGAAGAAATGAAATACTTAGAAAAGAAAAAGATAGAAAAGGGAGATTTTATTCATAAGAGAAATTCACACAAGGGAAATAAAAGGTGGATGTGATATTTTAAATTGCCCTGACTGTGCCTTCAGGGTAAAGAAACAAAACTTGTTTGGGTGACTGTTACAAGGTGGAAAGCATCTCTTTGTTGTTCCTTTTATGTCCCATACCATCAACTGAAAAAGCTCACAGTAGACTTAGTTATGTTTCAATAAGATGGAAAAGGTAGAACTATGACTTGACTATCTTTATCTTCTAATAAAGACATGATTCATAAACAGTTACTATGTCTCTGTACCATGAACTATTTTGGGTGCCTGACGGAATTCTTCTTCATTGTCGGCTGTAGCCTCGCTGGTGTGACCTGCTTTGGCATTGCTACCTGCTACATTCCCACAAGGCAGATTATTCTTTCAGCTCTGCTCGGTGTTATAAGCACTCTGAAGTTTAGTACCTTCTTTGTCCTGTGGTCCTTGCTGACATTCCCCGTTTGTCTTGCACAGCCTCTTTGATTTAAAATGAAATGATTAATAAAACAAACCGATTTCTCCTGTACCCTTTCCACAGAGGAGACAGCTACGAAGAGGTTCGTGATGCTTAACTTCCTCATCTTTTTTCTTCTCCCACATGTTCACCTTCCTCTCCGGAAACAAAGAAAAATGGCTACTGACTTGAAATATGAATATATTTAGAAAAGTCAGAGAAATGTCTAAAACTTTAACATTAGAAGTGAAATAGATGTTCCAAGAACAGGAAATGAGGGGAAGAAACCCTTCAACGAGAGAACAGCCTTGATTTTCTGCTAGTACAATTTTGTCTTTACAAAAGGATGACTCTGTTGAGAATTGAAGCTCTATCAACCAAAGTAGTTGAAATGTATTAAACATAATGGCAGAGAAACATTTTTCAACTGAGAAATGAATAAGGCAAATAGAAATTAAGGTGTTGCCAAAATCTCCCAGCTCTATCTGGGAAGAGAGCTGTCAGATGCGAATCCAAGGGAGGTTGTTGAACATAAGTCTGATGCTGCCAATTTATTAATTCATGATTTGGCAAGGACGCAGGATCCTGAATCTACCTATTCTTCTGAGGCTTTCTCTCAGAGAGGAATGGCTTAGGGGATTGCTGAGGAGACCCTCAGTGAAACTAACAGTGAGAAGGGAGGCAACCACCATGACATGCTGAGGTCTCATGTACCAATTCAGCATATAAAATGATGCTGTTAGAGCTTTTATAATTGAAAAATATTTAATTCAAGAATGATTAAATAAATGCAAGTATTTAATGCAATAATATGAAATATTATTTTGAGGAGTTATTTGCATAATTCTCTACAAGCATCCACTCCAGTTTCAAAAGGAATATATTAATTCTATGTAAGGGAAACTAAGTTTTATCAGTAATGAGACCATGTTGCTAAACTCTGAAGTTCATTCCATTTTTGTCTCACACTTTAAATTGACCTGAAAAGATAGAGTTAATTTTTCCCAATAATATTGCTTTTTGCTCCCAATTGAATGTTTTGGATCACTTTGTTCAAATGTTAGAAATGATGTGACTCCACACACGAAGACACTGATGGAATGTGTGGCTCACAGAGACCTGAGAAAGTAGAGTGGGCCTGGACAGGCCTACGAGGCTTGGCCAAAGCACTGAGAGTAGGCTGTGTATATTTACTGGCTGAGGGTTGAGGCTGAAGAGCATCGCCAACAACAGGAGATGGAGACATCCCACAGATATTAACTAGGAATGTAGAGAATTGGATTATCACCTTATCCAGACATGGAGCCAAAGGAAGAAAGGGAAGACAATGTTTAAAACGAGAATAGCAACCCACATCACAAATGTGTTTAGAATTTTTATGTCAATGATAGTATTCAAATGAAAACACTCTTTAAGAATTTGTTCTTTTTAGGGGCTGTAGCGATGGCTCAGTGGTTAAGGGCACTGGCTGCTCTTGCAGAGGACGTGGGTTTGGTTTCCAGCACCCATGTGACAGCTAACAACCATCTGTAACTCAGGTTCCAGGGATCCAGCACCCTCTTCTGACTTCCGTGGGCATTGCACGACATGGGTACAGTTACAAACATGAGACAATACACTCACACACAAAATAATAAATTTTTTTTAATTTTTCATTTTATGTATCTAAGTTTTTTGCCTACATGTATGTAAGTGCATGTGCAATGCCTTCAGAAGCCAGAAGATGTCAGATGCCTTGGAACTGGACTTAAGGAGCATTGTTAGCTGCTTTTTAAGTGCTAGGAACTGAACCCAGGTTCTCTGAAGAGCAGCCAGTGTTCTTAACTGCTGAGCTAGCCCTCCATGCCCCCACTGAACACATTCTTAAAAAGAAAAGTTTTAAAGTACTTGTCCTGCATGGGTGGACAATGTTGCTCCTAGATGACATGGGTTACTAAATAAAAGTCTCAGTTCAAGTAATGGAAAAATTCCCTATGAATTATTAGGCAAGGAGGCTCCAGAGGTCTCCAGAACAACACAGGTTCTTGGCATAGCACTTGATCATTAACCATAACTACATGTTGGACCCTATTGCTGAAGGCATCAGACATGCTAGCTTAGGCTATCACAAAATCAATTTCAATCAACTGGGAAACTCCCTCTCAGATGGATAGCTTTCATACTACCAGAAAGTGCTATACAGCTGCTGAGGTAAAGTGAGGAAGAAAGACATCAATACCCTTAGCCAGCACTGGCCTCTGCGTGGTACAATACTGATCTGTCAGGCAAAATGTGCCCACTGATGAAACAGTGGCGCAACTGTTATGGGGGCAGCTGATCACTTTCTGATTTGGCTTGAGTCCCATTCCACAGTAAGGTACTCCATGCCTTCTACTGCAATCCTTCTCAGAAGCCCACGGCTAGGGAGGTCCCAGGCCATAGGTAGAATCTGCTGTTACATGATTCAATAGTCACGTTGTCAAATTGCCTTCTAAATATTTATGTTTATGCTCAAAGACCTGGGTTGCTTTCAGCTTTGAGGATGGAGATGCATGCCATGAAATTCTGTGTTCCAGGAAGAGCCTGGTTATCTCACTCATGAACTTGCAGCACCTGGGGTTACTTATACAAGACTTGCATTAAGATCAAGCCAGATAAAATTCGGGCATAGATAGGGCAGTGCTCTCTAGATCCCACCACTTACTGAGGAGCTATTGGCAGTTTGAATGGAAGAAACTTGGAATTTAAACTAATAATCTGTATAATCCTTAGTAAGTTGCCTAATTTTTCTGAGGCTTAATTTTCTCCATTTTAAAACTAGAGAAACCTGGCCAGATTAATATTATTAAACAAATGAGTTTAAAATTATTTTACCACACTATTCTAAAATTCTATAGCTTACTTAAACATACGAATTTTAAGTATAGAAATGGTAAAACCCAAACTGGGCACTTCTGTCTTCCAATTTTAAAAATATCTTTTCAAGTAGTAGCCTTGCTATACCAAATAATACAATTTTACCACTACATTTATTAAAGTAAGAAAGCATTCATCATAAAAATTATGCAAGCTTGGAAGAAGTTAATGCAGTCAACCAGAAGGGTTTTAGCATATTTTAAGTAAACAAAGGATAAGAATCAGAGTATAACCTTAATTTTATTTGAAGACAATATCTATATGTATTCAAAAAAATGAGTCACTAAAAGAACTTGTAATTAAATTTCAAAATTGATCAGATCAGTAAAAAATAAATTAAATGTCAGTAACTTCCTTATCTGGAAGGCATATCCTAATCATGATAACAACACAAAAACACACACACACAAACACACACATGCACAACTTCTGCACATGCACTACACAAACAACATGTGTGCACACTTATGCCCACAGCACACCTATATACACCACACACACCACACTCCACATAGACACATTAAAAACATACATACAAGCATGCACATATGTGCGCAGAACCCTATAAATATTTTAGGAACAAGTACAATGGAAATATTTATGAAGAACACTAGAGCATTCAGGAGGGTTTTGTAAAGATGACATTATAGATGCTATAGTGTAAATGGGAAGTGCTATATTTAAAATCGTAATTCTTTAAAAATTATGTATAAAATTGTGTAAACTTCAATGATATAGAATACTAATGATAGAGAAATAAACATTTTGTAATTTGTGGGAGATGGAGAGACAAGAATTTCTTCCCTTCAATTCCTGTTTTCTGTACATAAATTTTACTTCTATTAATATCCTACATCACAAAATAAATTATAAAGCTGTAACAGGAGTGTTTGAGGACAACTCCCTCCCATTCCATTGAATATTTGCACTAGTTTGTCAACTGCATCACTTTTCAAAACTTTTTGCCTCATCCTGGTAGTAAGAATATAATCAATTCAGGAACAGAAGCTCAAATTTACTTAATTGTACTATGTGTGGTTTGTATAAAATGAATACATATTGTATACAGCTATGTAAAGTGTATACAGCATGTTCCCTCCCAAATTCATACCTTCATTTTTGTTGTTTTTAATAACCCACTGAGCCCAGTTATTTCTGCCCCTGTGTGCCTGGATGTATATTTCACTGAGCATGGGACACCTACAGTGGCTGCACCCTCAAGAAATGATTTTCCTCCTCCAGCAGCTATCAACAGTCCATAGTTCCTCAGCAAGTGGTGGGGGCTAGAGAGCACCTCCCCTATCTATGCCCAAATTTTGACTGACTTGATCTTATGCAGGTCTTATGCAAACAACCACAGATGCTGTGAGTTCACAAGTGAGATAACCAAGCCATTCCAGAACACAGCACTTCAGGACACTCCTCTCCATCGTCATGGAGAA